TTCTGAGTTACTGCCAGGCTACCTCTGTAGGCAGCTGTCCTAGTCATGTTTCCAGCAACTATACGTGAGGGCTCCAGTGTATCCATAGTTTCTCAACACTTGCTGTTCTCCTTGAGACAGGGTCTCACTGAGTAGCCTAGGCCTACCTGGGGAAAGCCCAGCCTTTCACTGAAGTGCTGAAATTATAGCACAATGTCTGGCTGTTTGCATTTCTTCCCCAGCCACCTTTACTGTATAAGGGGCCACCTTACTGTGGTTAAAGTTTACTTTTCCATTGTGCATAGTGCCAAGCATGATGTTGATCACCTCTGTATTTTCATAGAAAAATAACTGATTACATCCTTTGCCAAGCTTTAAAATGAGTTTTTCTCATTGTTGAATTGCAGGTCTATCCATTAATCTCTATCTGAGATATGATTTGAAATCCTGTAGGCTTTTTACTTTCTTTAATATATAAATGTTCTGAATCCTGGTGAAATCGTATTTGCCTTATGTTGCTGCTATTGTCTGTGATTTTGGATTCATTGCTGTGAAACTGTTGTCAAATCCTATGTCATGAATGTGTTCTCCAGTGTCTTTTTTTTTTTTTCTAGTGTAGTTTTTAGCTTTTATGTGTTGGATGTTGGCCAATTTTAGTATCTTTTGCAGTGGTGTGAAGCTAGAGTTCAGCTTCCTCCTTTTGCATGTAGCTGTCCAGTTTTCACAGCACCATTTATTATCCCTCCCTTTTATTTTGCTAAAAAATTAACCCTCCATCTAGACTTAGTTCTTGGTTTTCTGAGGACCAAGGCAACTTATAGAAGAAAGGGTTTATTTTGGCGTACTGTTCCAGAGGGAGAAGAATCCATCATGGAGGAAGCATGGCTGCAGAAGCAGAAAGTTGAGAGCTTGTATCTTCAAATGCACAAGCAGGAAGCAGAAAATGTGAATCTGAAGTGGCACAAGGCATTTATTCACCCAGTTCATCCCTAGTAGTATACTTCTTCCAGCAGGGCTGTACCATTCAACTCCCCAAACAGTGCTACCAATTAAGGATCAAGTTTTCAAAATATCAGAGCCTATGGGGGACATTCTCACTCAAACCACTACAACTCTGTTACATTGATCTGTATGCCTGTGTTTACGGGAGTAACTCTCCACTCTAGCAGCTAGCTTTGCAGTGAGTTTCAGAGTCAGGAAGTAGAATCCTCATAGCTCTGGCCCCTTTTGAAATTGTTCTGGCTGGCTGGAACCTCTACAATTCTGTATGAATTTGAGGTCTGCTTTTCTTTGTCTGTGAAAAGGCTCCTAGAGTTTTCTAGTGATCTGAAAATAACTTTGGTACATTTGATATCTAAACAGTATTGTCTCCCAATCTACAAACATGGAGTGTCTCCCCATCTGTGAAGATCAGTGGTTCTCAACCTATGGGTTTGCAATTCCTTTTGGGGTTGGGGATCTACCTTTAACAGGGTTCACCTAAGACCATCAGAAAACAGATAATTTGCATTACTATTCATAACAGTAGCAAAGTCACAGTTATGAAATATCAGTGAAAATAATTTTATGGTTGGAGCCACCACACATGAGGAACTGTATTAAAGGGTCGAAGCATTAGGAAGGTTGAGAACCACTGGTCTGGATCTTTAATTTCTTCAGTGTTTCATAGCTTTTGTTGTTCAGGTCCTTCCTGTGGCTACATGTATCCCTGTTTAATTCTGCAGAGGTTTTGCAAATACAGTCACTTTTGGTTTCTCTTTGGGTTGTTTATCTCTAAAATATGAAAAGAACTAATTTTTATGTGTTAATGTTATATGAATTCAATTCCTTTAAATATGATTACAATCAAGGCATATTATTGATTTTGGTTTCTGTGTTTATTAATGTTTTAATATATATAGCAGGTTCTGAAGTAACTACCACTCTGTTTTCGCCCAGTTGACTGGGCTGTTTTCCTCCTTGTCTATACCGACACAAGCCTGAATGGAGCACCTCTGTACAACATTCAACTTTGTGTTAATCCCTCATGGTAGATTCTCAGCTTCAAGATCTTGGATCAAACGTCATGAAAGCTTAAATGCTTTTCAACATTTTCCAAAGGGCTCTGCCATTTTACATGGGTGCCTATGGCCAAGTTTGGCTCTGAGTATAAGATATATTTGAAAGTTTAGAAGGAGATGGTGTTTTATGCGTGTTTTGGTATGCAGGTGACTCCTGACATGTATTAAGCAGTTGGATTTGCCTGTGTGTTTGTCCCGTTGCCTCTTGAGGGTTTAACCTCCCCTTTGATTTGCAGGAGTGTTGATATTAGTGACGATGCTGCTGTTGACCTTTTGCCCATCACACTTGCTAG